GGATTAGATCGGAACGAAGAAATCAAGGACGTGAAGATGTTGATAGCCCAGAAGACGAGGAACTTGGAGATATATTAACACATGGTAACCCATCCGAATTTAACACTCCAGAAGAAGGTCACTCAGTTCATATTGATTATGAAGAACTTACTAAGGCAATGCAAAACCTTTGAATTTATTCTTTTTTGGTTAATTTACTTGTTAAATGTAAACCTTTCAATTTGAAAGTTTGAAATAAATGTAGCACTTGAAATTTATAAGTGCAATTTTTTTCCATCTTACTTGTATTCTTTATATTAATATACCTTACAATAGTTGTACAAAATACAAAAAAAATTTAAAAAATACACTAAACCCGGCCCGGCCCCCTCAACCCGTAACCCGTACGGTTCAATTTTTACCCGAATAAACTCGAACCCGTTAAGAATCAACCCGGCCCGGCCCGTAACTCGTACGGGTCAAAAAAAAAAAAGCGACCCGGCCCGGCCCACCCGTTTAACACCTATACTCTATACTTTCATCTGTTTCTTCGTCTTCAGTTCCTCTTTGTCTAGAGTAGGCTTTTCGATTCCAACAGTGAACTGGTTAGTTTGCACTATGCATTGGCCTTTCTGTTTGTTTTATTTTGTTTTTTCGGTTATTTATTCAGGAAAGGTCTAAATTTGTAATCTAAATTGCTGTTATTTGCTTTCTCCGGTAATAGTTTGGTTGACTTTACTTGCTCTGTGATTAAGAGTGGAAACTCCAAAAGTTACATTTCCCCCATAGTTTAGTTTTGTTTCATCAAGTTTATCGATTAAAATGAGTGATTCTTATACCATATTCGCTTCCAATCTGCGAGCTCGATGGAACGGTGTTTTCTTCAATTTTGTCACTTCTTATATGCTGCAATTTATGCATGTAGTTGTGTATTCCTGTTTTTATTTGGGGTTTTTAGTTCCATGCCTTTCAACTACGATTTACCTGATTATTTTGCAGAAAGTGAAAGATCAGGACATCAGGTATCTACTTGTTTGATTTGAAAAAAGGGCGTTTATAGGCAAACATGCTGCATTTACGTGTTCGTTCTGTTATGCCGTTGACCACTCAATTGTATTTAATCTTTATACTCCCGTAAAACTCCATCTTGCCATGAGTTTCTCCTCCGCGCAATAAATGAGTAAGTTTTTCTATAGAGTGGGGGCAATTGCCATCCAACCAGTTGTTGATTAGACAATTTTGATTCTCTTGGAATTCTTCAGAATAGACACTTTGCATGACGATGAATTTAAGTGTGGCTATACATGATGTAATTACTGGCTTTATTTTGCCGAGGCAAACTGTGTATGTAGCATAGGATATGTTTGAGAATCTGATAAGTCACTAAAAGTTACAATCCATCTTTTAACCATGTATCTGATACATGGACCAATAGTGCCTCTGTAGCTTGTAATTTGTATCTTTGTTTTGGTTATGTTTTTGTCCCACGGTGATTTGAGTTCTTGAACTTAAATTTGTATTTAGCTTCATCAAGTGTTTTCTGTTCACTGAATTAATTATTGCAGGTCATTAAAATAACTGATTTGCTTTATCGAGAGCAAAGAGTTCAAACTCCGTGAAAGTGCCAATTCGTCCATCCACACTAGCCAACTAGCCAACCAGCCAACCACGATATCCATTCGACATATAATATTGTTTATGATGAAATTATCCAAAGACGTCCATGTAAGTCTTTCACTATCTCCAATTTGGATGAATTTCTGCTCTATTTCGTCCTTTTACTCATGTTTATTTTGCTTAATCTCTTACAAATATTCACATTTGTTTCTTTTTTGTCAAATTGTCAACGAGGTTGAGAATGGACTTTTACTTACCTCAATTTCGGAAAGAAGTTCAGTAGTAAGGGGTTTCCATCATATTACTATATCTTAATGCTTATATGATCTTATTCGATATCATAGATTTGACCATCTACTTATTCTTCCACTTCCTTTTACATTGCTATCTCAATGTATTTAATAATCAGTTGCTCAATTCTTTAACTTTGTGTAAAAGCTATTTGTCTTGTTTACTTGCGAACAACATGATTGCAGAGAAATAGAACAGCCAGCCTACCATACAACTGGTGCCAGTAAGAACTTCTTAAATGACTGAATGAGTATTTTTGAAATACGGTTATTTCTTCATCCTTTTTTCTTGAATTTTTTTGAACTGACAGTTTTACCATATTGGATAATAGAAAATTAAATACCATCCAACATGTGATGGCTTGTTGCCTGTAGGTCGTGATGTGCCTTGAGATATGGGGTCTCTCAGAAAAAAGGACATTATCTCTATTTGTCTCTCTTACTCGAACTAGCCACCCCTTGGGAACCGTCTCCCCTTTTACCCTGCAATGAAGGGCGGAGTCATGACACCAAAGTGCTCCTTCTACGGACATCAATATCTTTTTCTCTTTCTCTTTGTCTTCCTTGAACGGTCCTTTGCTGGGAGATGCCTTTATACAAGGCAAGAACTTCTGATACTTCTGAAACATTTTGTTTTTCCCTGTTTTCTAGATTTCTAAGCTTCTGTTACTGTCTACACTTTAGAGTAGATGTCAATTTTAATGCAAGATAGTGCCGACTCTGTATTACATGTTATCAAGGTAGTGCACACACTATGTTCCATAGAGGTCAAGTTTTTAAAAGGTCATAGGTTTTAGGTTGCTAGATGAAATATTGAAACACGTTTGAGGAGCTGATAATGTATTTGCCCTAAAAAACAGGGGATTACAAGTATATCCTAGATTGCATATGCTGGTAACACTGTTGGAAGTATTTTCCTGCCAACTTTTGTAATTGTGAGTTCAAAATTTGATATATGCTCATAGTTTACTAATTTACCACATATATTCATGCTCTATGTTGAAATTACTAGGTGTAGGGACTAGGGCGCATATGGCTCGACGGTGCAGTCTTATGGAAAATTGAAAGGACCGCCTGAAGATTAGCTTCAAAGCTTGAACTTTCAATATAGTCAAAAGAAATGCGGATGGCCTCATTCCAGAATCTGCATTGACTGTTTTGAATTGAAGGGACTTTGCCTACTAACTAGGAGCTTCAGTCACATGAAGAAGTGTTAGTTCTTTGATATTAGTTGACTTGAAAAAGGTATTGCAGATCTGATGCTCCTGTTGATATTTTTTCCCCTGCTCTGTGGAACTTGAATTTCATGCGTCTTTGTTTCTGCATTTGAACAGCTTAGGCAATAGACAATTGTTATCTCATGGTTGATTTTCTACTATTGTTGTAGAAGGTTGTAAAGTTTTTATAATTAAGTGATTTTTAGCTAGCCGGTAGATTTACATTGGTCCCATTTTCAACATCGAAAATGGTAGAAACTAATCTAAAATTTTGGTGTTAGGCGATGCCCATGTTCTGAAGAAATCTTTAACCGGAGTAAAAGAAGGGGTATATTGCACATAGTTGTTGAACTAAGTGATCTTGAGAATGAAGTTATAGTGATAGGATAAAAAGATGTGGATGAAAATATTCTACTACAGATTATAGGTAGACCAAGAAGAACCAGAAGTGTCAAAGTCCACTGGGTTACCTATAAACTCAACCATACAAAATGCTTCTTTATTATGTGAGGTTAAGAAACAACACTGGAAGACTGGTAGCATAGGAAAGACAACAAAAGAACAAGAGATATGGTAGAAGAAAATGGGAGATATAGTTCAATCCCAAGAAGAAACTATTCTAGCTGCTCATTTTTCTGAGTTATTAAGACGAGTCTACACATAAGACTATGGTAGTCAAGGTATTTAGTGGCTTATTCTGATATTGAATTCACTTTGTAGAGTTTTTCATTATACTTGGAGCATTTTTTGCTTAATTTCTACCCCAATAAATTTTAAACTTTAAAAAGGACTTTCATATTACCTATTGTTTAAGGTATTGATAATATTTTTTATTGTGCCTTACCTCTTCAGATTTTATTAACATTGAGATACAGTTTTCGCTTGTGCATTTCAACATTAGTCACATCAAAGTACTAGATACACCACAGCTTATTTTAACATTAACTTATCTTAATTACATGAAGCCCAATCTGTTGGGGTTGTTGGTAAGTTGTTGAACATTTCTACGTGAGATTTTGTTGTATATTCAAACTGGGACTTTGTCAGGATAAAAGGAATCAGTTGGGGGTGGGCATAATCATTTATGTGGAGGCTCGTCACTTATTTGCCTCTTGATATTCTTAAATTTATCATCTCTTATTTGGGCTGCCTTCACGACTAACAAGGATTTGAGAGGTATAAAGAAGCAATTTGGGTGATGATCAAGGTCTTCTTGCTGCTGAAATTCAGTCTCCACTTCACCTCGGCAAAGGATGATAGCAATATTGAGTCAAACCTTGTGTTGTGTTGAAGGACGAGCACTGAAAGAAGAAAATATTATTGGAGTACCAGTAGTTGTATATACAGTTAAAATAATTGTGATTTTTTGGTTGATACATAGTTTCTGTTATATAATATTATATGTTTACACTTTGGTTAAGATTTCTGAATAATTTGGGAGCAACAGTTACATAAAACAAAGATATTGGAATGTAAAGCTTATTAGTTAGTACCGTGGAGCTTTTCATTATGTTGGACTTTAGCCTTGTGATTCTTTGCTTTAGCCTTCAGATGACTATTCATTTCTTCCCTTGGGCAACACTAGGCGTAGTATCCTATTTTGAGCGAATTTCTGTCAGAAAAATAATTTAATCCAATAAAAAACTTTAAAAGGTTATTTAATATTGTTTACCCTAAAGGATAATAATTGAATTTATACGTGGTTTTGAGGATATGTGGATTGATACAGTAGAAATAATCGAGAATGTTAGATAAACGAGTTAAATATGGAATGAATAACCAAACCAATTATGATGTTACGCCCGGGCTTGGATTTGGGCTGAATAGTAATTTTATTCTTGATCGGACCCTTGATTCGGAGCCAAATATATATGAAGAACAACAATAAAATAAGAATATTTCAATAGCTAGAAAGCAGAAAAAACAAATTTGTATTGCCATGGTTTGCGTGTTACAATGTGGGTTATCAAAGAAAAAACTTCCCTTTTATATAGTAGGAGAGTTTCACCGCTAGTACAAGTCTAAAAAGGGGTAAAAATCCTCTTCTCTCGTTAATTATTGATCCGTAATCGCCATCGAGCGAGATCCGCGCCGTGATATCCGGCTAGTTCTAGATGTCACGGCCCTCTATCTGTCGCCTACAATCGTTCATTTGCTTCCCCGAAGTCTCAGAACTCATCCCAGGTTCGGGGTGCGTCGTTTTATCAAGTCCGATGGCGAGCACTCCGTTCGGGCCTCTGTACAAGAAGTTCTCAGCTTCGATTTCGATCCCATGTATTCATACTCTTGCTTCGTTTGACCCGCCGGAAAATCGGGGTATGTGTTAGCCCCGGTTTCACAAATATACAGATAGTCCCCTCGTTTCCAAAGAGTAGGTTTTCCGAAATGATAGATGAACCACGGTTCTTTCCTTCGTACGTTACAACCGAAATGACGGATAAGCTGAAACGTCCCATCAGTCGCGTCGTTCTGACTTCGGACAAGTGTCGATCATCGCCTGGTTGCCTTCGAATGTGAAACGTCGTGTATTGATTACATTTTCCCTATAAAAGCTTCGGCCTTTTATACTTCTTTCACTTTCTGATCCTAGCTTTTACCTTCGAATTTTCTAGCGGCTTTCAACTTTTTCAAATCTTCATTTCTTCATCTCTAATCTTCAAGTCTTCATATTTTTTCTTAGATTTCTAACTCAGATCTTCATCCCACTTTCAAACCTTCATACTCTTTTCTTCAAACCTTCATACTTGTTTCATAAAACCTTCATACTCTTCCTTCAAATCTTCATAGCTTCCCAAATCATGGTGGCTAAAACTTTCAAATCAGTTCCTCAACAGGCTGCCCCTTCATCTTCCCACCCGGCCGCAGATGCCAAAGTGGCTGCTCCCGAGGTGGCCCTAGAGCCCCCCATGAAAAGCTTTATACCGGGGGCTGTTCAATTAAGGATGACTTCAAGGTCGAGAAGTTCTCTAGCCAACACGACTGGGGTGAAGGAGCATCGAGATACATATGCTCTGTCACTGAAGAAACCTTACCCATAGTCCGAGCGGATTGTAAGTAGGAGGGTAAAGAAATGGTTGTCCCTGGGCCCGACAATGATATAACCACTCACGTGAAGGGGTATCTGAGTGTTTACACTTACCCTTTTACGCTTGCACATGTGGATCCCGTAGTTTTTGCTTTTTGCAAGAGATACGGGGTGTGTCTCGGGAAAATCCACGCATCCTTCTGGAGGATCGTGATCCTCTTGCGCCACTTCGTAAACAACACTGAGTCTCGCTAGTTCACCCTCGACCACCTACTCTGTTTATATAGTCCCCGAATCTTTTGAGGGGAACTGACCAAGCTCGTCCGCTGAGCATACAAGGCTCCTTTCTTGAGCATTGATGAGGATTGAGACCGAGGTTGGCAGGGGCAGTTTGTTCAGGTGAAGACCGAAGACCTGATTCCCCTTGAGTTTCTACCATTCCCTGAGGAGTGGAACGCATCACGTAAGTACTGTCGTTCTTGGGCAGTCCTCCCTTCTATTTCTTTTCTCATCGCTTGTGTTTGTGGTCGTGCAGCCGTTGCCCGAATTCCAAATGCAATCCCCCGATTCAAGGAGTGGATCGAGGGGATTTGTAAGCAGATGCCTTACCTTGAGCGCACATGGAGCAATCTCTCAAAGGGCAGATAGGAGGCCCGTTGTCATGGTGAGGTTCCTTCCCGAAATTGTTATCATCACGCTTTTAACTTATATAGTGTTAACTTCTCCCTTTTTCTTGCATGTCTACCTAAGACCACTGAACTTAGGCTGTTCGATGAGGATGAAGATCCGTCTGTTCACTGAGCCCTCCGTCTAGGGACAGCCCGGAGCTGCCGCAAAGGAGGAGAAGAAGAAAAAGAGAAAGTCCTCGGGTTCTCCGAACCCAAGGGAAAGAGGAAGAAAAGGGCGGCCACTCGGGCCCGGAAGCCCAAGAAGAATAACAAGTCCAGAGCACCGAACCCTGACTATCTCTATCGGCTCAGGACTGAGTCGGAAGAACACGACATCTTCATCTCCCACAGATCAACCCCCACATGGGAGTAGGCGACGACCAATAAAAGGGTCCACGAGGTCAATTCTCTTTAGGTTCGGGAACCTAAAGGGGAGATGGAGGTTGTGACCTCTCAGGAAGCCACTCCCGCTCCTAAGGAGGCGTCTAGTGTCATAGAAATCATAGAAATGCCCTCCTATACCGAGTCCATGCTCGAGGAGACCTAAGTGGGCAAAGAACAAGTGAAGGAGTGCGGGGTTCAGATGACCCCTAAACTCCCTTTTCAATGGTATGGACATGTCAACATTGGAGGACTTTTCTGGGCTGGGTGACCTGGAGATCCCGAAGAAGGATGTGCCCTTGGGAGCTGGCGGGCCGAATTCGACCTAAAACTAGTAAAGCAGTTTCTCGCACCGAGCATGGACCTCGGCCGCAAGAGAACAGTCATTCTTACAGTCCCGAAGTATGCTCGGGTCTTATCCGCTCCGGTGGGCGTATCCAGCTACCTTCGATGCCTGGTGACCGAGGAGGACCAGGAAAAGATGAACTAGGGCGCATCAAGTCTTTTTAATGAGGCGCAACAGGCGCTGAACCGGGTAAGACATCAACACTATTACACCACCTTGTGAATTCCGCTTAAGTTTTGATGTCTCTTACTGTTTTCGTTGTTTTATAGGCCTCAGTACTTCACCATGAGAGCTTCCTCCGGTACCGCTTGGAAATCAACCAGCTCGATTTCGAGCTCAAACAGCAGGTCTGGAAGAAGGACATGTACAGGCTTCTCAGTGAGTGACAGGACGGGGCTTTCAAAGGCCTCCAGGCCGAGCTAGAAAAGGCTTAGAAGGAAGTTTAGACTCTGAAGCGGGAACATGTCAACCTGGTTGAAAAGGTAAAGGTCTTTGAAGCTAAAAACGAGGAGCTAGTCGTGGTGACTAACAACACAACCTCGCTGGTCCAACAGAAAATCAACCTGATCTACCAGCTCTGAGCCGATATGAACGAGGTCAAGGCCATGGCCGAAGGGTGGAAAGGAAGAATGGACATGCTGGCTTCAGAGAAGGAAACCGCGAAGGTGGAGCTGGCATCTGTTGAGAACCAACTTCAGGCGGTGAAGGACAAAACTGACAAATGGTCTCAGTTGAATGATGGTCTCCGAGTACAGTTGAGCTCGGCCGTCGCAGAGCGGGATTCCCTCGGTAGACGATATGAGGCACTGAAGTCCAAATTGGACATAACCTCCGCTGATGCCAAAGAAATGGTGTCCCAATACAAGGCCAATGTGGAGGTAGTCGAGACCCGCCTAAAGACAAAGGCTGAATATGTGAAGCGGCTGTCCCGAAGAGAGACCGTTGAAGAGATCCACACCCGAGGTTTCGACCCGTCTGGCGAGATCGAGGAAGCCAAATAGCTCAAGGCCGAGGAAAAGGAGCTCTATCCGAAGGCTCCGATGGTTCCGAGCGATCCGAGGGCTCCGATGGTTCTGGCGATGAGTCAGGCCCCGGTGAAGGCCAGGCGTAGATGCCTTAGTACTTTTTTAGTTTTTCCCTTATGTATATTTTTTTCTATTTATTTTGAGGCCATTTTTATTGGGCCTTTGTAAATATATTTCAGAATATATATGAAATTTCCCCTTTTTGGCAATATCGTGTCTTTACTTTTCCAGCATTTTTTTATAATTTCTATTCATGTAATGTTTTTAATGTCGTAGCATAGAATCAAATGTAGTGATGGGGCGCTCGTTTTTCAGAGGTCCGAATGGATCCCGACTTCAATACAACTTTGTTTGCTCGAGGCTTTGAAACCTTGGTGTGATTGGAAGTTTTCAAGATGCTTAAGTGATTTTAGACGATACTTTGGCCGAGGGTAACCTTTTAGCAAATTTAGAGTTTTTATAAAGGCCTTACTTTTTGATTACGAGCTTCGGACGTCTCCGAACCATTTTTAGGGTGGCCATAGACTTTTGTATTTGGGCACCGCCTAATAGGTTTGGTGCCTCCAGGATTTGATAGCCGGGTTGTACGGATTTTCTTCAGGTGACAGTCCCCGAGTAGGGGTAGCCCTTGGAATCGTTACTCCCCAAGTAGGGGCAGGTCATGGGCTCGATAGTCCATGGGCTCTTAGGATCCGGAATTAAAGAAGCAAGAAAATGCTTAATAGGAAGGCGAAACTTTCTTTCATTTCTCAGTGTGTAAAGTACATGATCGAAAGAGCATAAAAACTTGTATCATGGCTTGAGTGGACTATGTGAGCACAGTTCATACGGCCGTTTGTCCTTTACAATGAATCCTGACCACCAAGCCTTAGCTTCTAGCATACAAGGTTTTTCTTTTTTCTTTGCTATACTTAATTCGAGGGTAATGGCCCCCAGTATTCGAGGTCGAGCTTGAGATGTCTCAGATACTATTGATATGAAGTGAATGATCATTGACTCCGGTTTAAGACCGGTCTTCGAATCTAAGTTAGCATGTTTTATTCTTGCCTCATTTTAAACCTTGTT